TGTGGGCTCAGATGCAAGCAGGTCTCAGCCCAGATGAAGCAGTACAGAGAGCATACCAGAAGGCCTTTGAGGATAGGCAGGGATCTTAGAGAGGCCCAATGCAGAGGAGATCCCAAGAGGAGAATGGCTTGAGAATGGGCCACGGCTGACCGGGGTGGCACTTTGAGAAAATGGGAGGGAGGAGCTTACCAGATGGACCTTGGACTGAGGAAGACAGCAAGCCTCATTATGACTAGTGCATTTCATTGTATGTAAATTATATCCCAATTTTATAAAATGAAATGAATGCTCATGAGGGCAACTTTTTAAAAAATGATGTAAATTACATAGAAATATATCAACCATTTCCCCCAAATGAAGAAGTTTGGGTTCTATATACTTTTTTCAGAGGTTTAAAGTATAAAGAAGATCAAATAACTCTTAAAAATCTAAATACAATGCCTAATATGTGAACAATAATGAGTATTTAAGAAAGACCTCAAACTCAAATGAATTGTTCTGCTGCTGTCTTATTCAAGCACATGAGGTTTCTCTGAGCTGGTGAATGTTTCAACTCAGGTTGGTAATGCCTGACAGAGTTAGTTTCCTTGGGAAAGAAAAAGAATGGATTCTACTTTAAAGATTAAATTTTGATATGGGAGCTATAACAGCACTGTCAAATAATTATTATTGTTATTTTTACAAATCTATTTCACTTTAAAACCAGTTGGGAAATTTCTGACTTAGTTTAAATGAGACCTCAATTCTCCCAGGCCTGATCTGCCACCTGAGGCAGGATCTCCTGCTGAAAAAGTGCTGTGCTGAGTCATTAAAATGGCAGCTCCCACTGAGAGAAATAACGGAGCCAGATTCTTGCAGCAGAGATGCTGAACAGTAGGGGAGGGAGGGAGGAAGGGAAGCTAATTTTTCAGGGCAGATCTGAATGCTTCTTTTTCATAGGCCCTCTTAGTCAATATTTATCTAGCTATTCAAAGAATTATAACCATTGATCTCTTTTTTCTTTTCTTATAGTACTCGGAACTTGGAGAACAGAATGAGGTTCTAGTTCTTTATAGTATTCTTTATAGTACTCGGAACTTGGAGAACAGAATGAAGTTCTAGCTTCTTCATTCCAAGACTTATGATATCAGAACAAAACTTGTGGCTGAGATTTGACCAAACTGTGAGGCTCAGACAATTGGTACAAGCCCCGTGAAAAAGAAAGCTTATGCCCCCACCTTCCAGTTGCTGACTTATAGAGCTAAGATTCATTAAGTATAATTCATTTTCCTAGAGTCTTTTGTTTTTATTTTTGCCATGGCACCATTTGGAGGGGGCTTTACTGACCAATCCTTCTGACTTACTACTTTGTCTGACTTTAGCTATTAGAACAGTCTTCCTGGGAGGAGAAATCTTCTTTGCTATTTTAAAGTACAATGGGATACACAGATGTTATCTTTAGCGTAAAAGGTCCCAACTTGCATTTCTGTAACTGTTGAGTGAGGAGCATAAGGGAGCCCAGGTTTTGCCGCCTTCCACCTTGGCCTATCGATGAGGTGCCCAAGCCAAGTCCACAGAGGTCCAGAAGCCAGGAGAGAAGTCAGAGATCAAGTCCAAGGAGAAATGCCTGGATTTGTGTGCAGATGTTTTCTTGGAAATGCCCTAAGAATACCTGTGAGGAAGTGAAGAAAGCAGAATTGGGTGGAGTTGAAGCGGGAGAGCTGAGACGTAGTTCCAACAGAACCCAGGGGAGCTCTGAGGCTGAAATGCCTCTGAGAGATCTCCAAAACTGAGATGAGAGGGCTGGGACTTTTTATCCCCACCACTTGACTAGTGGTTGAATAGAGGCTGTCCCCCACAGAGGGGGCTACCTTGGGAAAGGCAGCTCCCTTCAGCTAAGGATGTTTTCGTATATAGTTAGTAGGCAACACTCCCAGCAGCTGGGGAGTGAATGCCTCAGCTCTGATGATGGAATGTGAGTGGTATCATACCCACCATGAGGCCACTCTTTAAGTATATACAATTTACTGGTGAAGCCCCTTTTGGACTCTAAAATATGACTCTTTTCTGTCACTTATGTCTCAGTCTGTTTTGTGTTACTGTAACAGAATACCACAGACTGGGTAATTTGTAAAGAAAAGAGATTCTCACAGTGCTGGAGGCTGGGAAGTCCAAGATCAAGGTGCCAGAATCTGGTGTGGGCCTTCTGGTTAACATCATCCCATGGTAGAAGGTAGAAGAGAAGGCAGGAAAGCCAGAGATTGAACTCCTGGCATGAACTCCTTTAATAACTGACATTAATCTATTCATGAGGGTGGAGCCCTCATGACCTAAACACCTCCCATTAGGCCCTACCCTTCAACACTGTTGCACTGGGGATTAAGTTTCCAACACATGCTTTCAGGAGGATATATTCAAACCATCGAAATTTGCTTCTGGATTTACATTTGCATGACAATTCTACATGTCATCTAGTTTCATAAATTCTAATAGAATTCCAGAAGGAAGGGGAACATAATCTAATCCAACACCCTCATGTTACAAATGAACAAACTGAGGCTATGAGAGCAGGAAAAAATTACTCCTGGTGTCAGACCGAGGATTGGAATCCAGACCTTCCAACTTCCAAACTCCCATGTTCTTTCCATTATCCATGTAAGCTGCCTCCATTTCATCCTTATGGTAGCCCTGAAAAATATGAAGGAAAAGTACATTTTCTTTATATATGGGAAATATTATATGTTTTATTCCAGATCACAGAAATAAAGCAAAGATCACAATAAAATGAATTACATAAATTTTTTTAGTGTCCCAATGCATATAAAAGCTATGTTTATACTATACTGTTGGTCTCTTAAATGTGCAATAGCATTATGTCTAATAAAAGTACATACCTTAATTTAAAAAATCCTTTATTGCTAAAACAAAATGCCAATTATAATATCATCTAAGCCTTCAGGGAATCATAATTATTTTGCTGGTGGAGTATCTTGCCTCAATATGGATGGCTGCTGACTGATTAGGGTGCTGGTTGATGAAAATCGAGGTGACTATGGCTATTTATTAAAATAAGACAACAATGAAGTTTGTTGCTTCAATTGACTCTTCCTTTCAGGAAAGAGTTCCCTGTAGCATGCAATGCTGTTTGATAGCATTTTACTCACAGTAGAATTTCCTAACTTCCTTCAAAATTGGAGTCAATTCTCTCAACCCCTGTCACTGCTTTTTCAACTAAGTTTATTTAATATTCTAAATTTTTTTTTTCTCATTTCAACAATATTCATAGCATCTTCACCAGGAGTAGTTTCCACCTCAATAAATTACTTTCTCCTCGCCTCCATAAAAAGCAACTCTTCCTCTGTTCAAATTTTATAATGAAATTTTATCATGAGATTCAGTCAAATCCTCAGGCTGTACTTCTAATTGTAGTTCTCTTGCTATTTTCACCACATCTACAGTTACTTCCTCCACTAAAATCTTTTCTTTTCTTTTTTTTTTTTTTTTTGACACAGAGTTTCGCTCTTGTTACCCAGGCTGGAATGCAATGGCGCGATCTCGGCTCACCGCAACCTCCGCCTCCTGGGTTCAGGCAATTCTCCTGCCTCAGCCTCCTGAGTAGCTGGGATTACAGGCACGCGCCACCATGCCCAGCTAATTTTTTGTATTTTTAGTAGAGACGGGGTTTCACCATGTTGACCAGGATGGTCTCGATCTCTTGACCTCGTGATCCACCCGCCTCGGCCTCCCAAAGTGCTGGGATTACACTAAAATCTTGAATGCCTCACAGTGATCTGTGAAGGTTGGGATTAACTTTTCTATCAGAGGAATCACCATCTATGGCAGCTATAACATTATGATATATTTATTAAACAATAAGACTTAAAAATCAAAATTACTTCTTGAATCCATGGGCTAAAGAACAGATATTCTGTTAACATGCATGAAAAACAAATATTGATCTTCTACACATCTCCATCAGAGCTTTTGGTTGATCATGTACATTCTTAATGAGCTTTAATATTTTGAAAGGAATCTTTTTCTAAGCAGTAGGTCTCAACAGTGGGCTTCAAATATTCAATAAACCATGGTATATATAGAATGCTGTCATCCAGGCTTTGTCATTCCATTTATACAGCAAAAGCAGAGTAGATTTAGCATAATTCTTAAGGGTTCTGGGCTTTTCAGGATGGGAAATGAGCATTGGCTTCAACTTAAAAGTCCCCAGCTGCTTGAATCCCTAACAAGAGAGTCAGCCTGTCCTTTGAAGTTTTGAAGCCAGGCATTGACTTCTTCTTTCTAGCTATGGAAAGTCCTAAATGGCACCTTCTTCCAATAGAAGGCTGTTTTGTCTGCATTGAAAATGTGGCCAGACATGGTGGCTCATGCCTCTAATCCCAGCACTTTGGGAGTCCAAGGCAGGTGGATTATGAGGTAGGAGTTCAAGACCAGCCTGGCCAAAAATGGTGAAATCCTGTCTCTATTAAAACTACAAAAATTAGCTGAATGCAGTGGCAGGCATCTGTAATCCCAGCTACCTGGGAGGCTGAGGCAGGAGAACCCCTTGAACCCAGGCAGCAAAAGTTGCAGTGAGCCGAGTTCACACCATTGCACTCCACTCTGGGGCGACAGAATGAGACCCAGTCTCAAAGGAAAAAAAATAAAAAGAAGAAAGAAAACATGTTGTTTAATGGAGCCACCATCATCAATTTGTCTTAGCTGGATCTTCTGGGTAACTTGCTGCAGCTTCTACATTTGCACTTGCTGTTTCACCCTTTGTTATGAAGACAGCATCTTTTCTTAAACCTCTTGAGTCAAACTCTTCTAGTTTCATATTTTTCTTCGGCAGCTCCTTACCTTTCTCAGCTTTCATAGAATAGAAGAGAGTTTGGCCGTTGCTCTGAATTAGGCTTTGACTTAAGGGAACGCTGCAGCAGTTTGATTTTATATCCCAACCATTAAAGCTTTCTCAGTATCAGCAATAAAGCTGTTTTGCATTCTTGTCATTTGTGTAGTAACTAGAGTAGCACTTTTAATTTCCTTCAATAACTTTTCCAATGCATTCACAACTTGGCTTTTTGTCACAAAAGGCCTAGCTTTCAACCTATCTCGGCTTTCAATATGCCTTCCTCACTAAGCTTAATTGATTCCTAGCTTTTGATTTAAAGTGAAGGATGTGCAACTTTTCCTTTCACTTTTGAACACTGAGATGCCATTGTAGAAGTATTTATTGGCCTAACTTCAATATTGTCATGTCTCAGGGAATAGAGAGGCAGGAGGGGAGAGAGAGAGAGAAAAATGGCCAGTGATGGAGCAGTGAGAACACACACAACATTTATTTGTTAAGTTTGCTCTGTTAGATGGGCACAATTTGTGGTGCCTCAAACCAATTACAATAGTAATATCAAGGGTCACTGATGCAGTGGCAGGCATCTGTAATCCCAGCTACCTGGGAGCCTGAGGCAGGAGAACCCCTTGAACCCAGGCAGCAAAAGTTGCAGTGAGCCGAGTTCACACCATTGCACTCTACTCTGGGGCGACAGAATGACAGATAACCATAACAGATACAAAAATAATGCAAAAGTGTTCTGAGATAGAGTCTTGCTCTGTACCCCTCAGCTCACTGCAACCTCCACCTCCTGGGTTCAAGTGATTCTCCTGTCTCAGCCTCCCTAGTAGCTGGGATTACAGGCACCTGCCACCAGCCCAGGTGATTTTTGTATTTTTAGTAGAGATGGGGTTTCACCATGTTGGCCAGGCTGGTCTCAAACTCCTGACCTCAGATGATCCATCCGCCTTTGTCCTCCCAAAGTGCTGGGATTACAGGAGTGAGCTACCACACCTGGCCAAAAGTTTGAAATATTACAAGAATTACTAAAATGTGACACAGAGACACAAAGTGAACACGTGCTGTAGAAAAAAAGGCACCCATAGATTTGCTCAACACGAGGTTGCCACAAACCTTCAACTTGTCAAAAACTCAAAATCTGAAAGCACAGTGAAACAAAGCACAATAAAATGAAATATGCCAGTTTTTATATAAAAATAAAGTGATCTGGCAAAACTCATGTAAACCAAAAATAAAATTCTAAGACCCTCCAACCATCTGAAAGGACTTCCTCCTAGGCCAAGACGCTTTAAAATTTAACCTGAAAGACTGGTTCAGGCCATGAAGAAAAGTGGGGGTGGGACATAACTCATTACGTCTCTCCAGGTTTAACATCAACATCAACCTTAAGTCTGATAAAAAGCATGTAAAATCTATTGTCTCGGAGGCCTGCAACCTGCATGATAAAACTTTGGTCTCTACAACATCTTAACCCAGACATTCCTTTCTATTGATAACTCTTTTAGTTAATTACCAGTTAGAAACATTTTAAATCTTCCTGTAACTTAACCTGGAACCCCTAACTCCAACACCCCTCCACCCCCACTTTGAGTTGTCCCACCTTTCTGGACTGAACCAATGTATTTCTTAAATGTATTTCATTCAAGTCTCATGTATCCCTAAAATGTATAAAACCAATCCACACCCTGACCACCTTAGGCCTTTGTTCTCAGGACCTCCTGAGAGCTGTGTCACAGGCCATGGTCACTCATAGTTGGTTCAGAATAAATCTCTTTAAATGTTTTACAGAGTTTGACCCTTTTTGTCAACACTCACAAAGGTAGAAAGTGGAAAGATTTTAATCAGGTCTGTTGGAGGACACAGCGGTTGCTCTGCCCACCACATCACCCTGGCGGACCTTCCCCAAGAGGCCCCACCTCTACTCAGTGAAGCTCAATGATCACTTATTAAGCAACTGGATGCTGCCCGGCCCTGAGGAAAAAAAGATTAATTAATCACTACATCAACTTTGAATGAGTTCATCCCATCTAAGTGGGGTAAAAAAAGAAAAGTATAAACCAATTAAAAGCTACTTGGTAAAGGTTCTGAATGACTAACTAATGCTCCAACAGAGGAGCACCCTAACTTGGTCTGAAGTCTTCCTAGAGGAGGTGATGCCTGAAGGTATTCACATTTGAATGAAAGACCCAATGCCTCATCCTCCCTGCCAGCCAGCACCTTGACTTCCAAGGCATTCTCTAGCTCAGGTGCTTCTCCATCATCTCCGCAGTGACCAGAACCAACCACCTGTGAGAGGGAACCAGAGCGAAGCTTTCCCCCACCCCACAGTGACAGCCCATCTGTAACCAATAATTCATTAAGCAATCTCAAATCTGAGTGCTCATCCTCCTCCCCTCACCCTCACATTTGCCTTAGTTTATATATCATGACTGCTTAACTGAACGAGTAAAATTAACTCCTATCTGGTCTCCCTGCTCCCAGGTTGACCCTGCCCTCTCCTTTCTGCTCCTACCATATGGGGCGTATATGACTTTGCCATTCTCTGTGAAAAATCCTTCTATGATCCCACAACAACTTCCTCCTGATATGAAGTCTTGACACTTGTATGGCTTCACATGCTGTTCATCTGCCGAGAAAACCCTTAACTGAATCCCTTTTGCCTTGCAAGCTCCTTGCATAATCATTTAATATGTGGCTGTTCAGAGATGTAAAAACCATTCTTAGCTTATAGTTTAGTCCTTGAGAGCCAAATTTGGATTGTGGTATGCCAACCCCTTGCCATAAAGGATGAGTAGGGAGGGTCCACACTGAGGAGAAAGGCCAGGGAGGCAAGCACTGGCTGATCATGGAGGGCTAAAATGGCAGATGGAAATCTAGGACTTGACTCTGGAATCAATGGTGAATCGTCAGAGAGCTTTAAGCAGGGAAGGGACATGATCTGATTTGTGTATTGTAAAGGCTCAGCTAGTGCAATAGCAAAGGAAGTCTTTATTCATCTAAACTAGAAAAACGGCATCCATCCAGTCACTACCTTCTGACCCCAACATGTGAGCATCTCAGATGGATTCCAACACCATCTCTTTTTCCAAATGAGGAATTCCTGGAAAGAGATAACCCTCAGGACTACAAGCTCTTATATCTTTCTGCAAGAGCAAGGGGCCTTGGATTTGGGAGAACATTCCCAGGGGACAACTTTCTTTAGCCCTTCCAAGGAAAATAAAAGGGTCATTTGTAACCAATGGAACAGGGCCCATGAAGAACATTCTCTGTGCCTCTGCAGACCCATTTCTGCCTGGGTCTCTTCATGACAACAGTTATTTATCTGACCTTCACTTCCACATCATTCCAACTCCCAAACGTAGTTCCAAAACAGGTCTTAAATTATTCAGTAGCCAAGCCAAGCCAGGCTAAAAAAGAAAGTAACTGCGGCCAGGCCAGTGTTCAGCACTCTCTACAGACATCAAAACAAAGACAGGGTAAAGTCAAGAGAAATCACCTGCAAAAAATAAAAGCAAGATATTGGTGTCTTCTTCAGGGATTGTCCCAAATGAAGATAGAAATGTCTGTGCATAAAACAGGCAAGGGAGTCATAAGGCTTTCCAGGGGAGGTCTTGGTAGCTAAATCAGATGATGACAATTGCTGGATATTACAAATGTTTGCCTGATTTAAATGAGTATCTGCTTTTCGATGCCAGTGAGACCACCTTAAGAATGTTAGCTTAATACTGACCCTAGAGGGCCACACCCACTTTACTGCCAGTATTAACTCTCCTCTACATACTTCCTTCCAAGCAAACAACCTTGATTCTGACCGTACTGACTTGCTGAGGTTGTGGTAATTCTACTTTGCCATTATCATGTTGTCTCTACCTTAACGCTGTAGTGCTGGTGTGAGATCTACTCTGTTAGCTCCAAGCTAGAAGAAGGCCAAATCAGTCATTCAAACACTGAGTCTTCAATGCATCAGCATGACTTCTACCATGCCACAACCCTTTATTCAGGTAAAATGACTTCCTCAGCATTCTACAATAATCCTCTAGAGACAATGTCCCCAGGAGGGACAAAGCTTTTGGTTTCATGGGTTCTATTTAGGATTCAGCTTTAGCAACATGGCTCGAATGGATTACATAACTTGAGGTTGGCAGGCTTTAAAAGTTTTTAAATTATCTTTTTAAAAAGTCATCATGAGAAGTGCCTGCAGCTGTCCCAGAATAACCTTTCCAATATTCTGATGGCCAAATATTTCAGATAAAATATCCCAACTAATTGCTGGGTCCCTAAGGGTCTTATAGTCCAGACCTCATGTTTGTTTTCTTAAAAAAAAAAAAAAAAAAAAAAAAAAAGGCTGTGAATACAGCAACTTATTTTGCCAAATACCTGGCTATTTTGATGACCTGCAGAGAACACATTTATTTTCTGCTGTAGCAAGAATCTGTCCATCTTTAAAAAGAAGACCTTGGCTGACAGGGTACGTTTAGTGCTTCTCAGAATAGGATGGCTTTGGGGCAGGTAAAGGCATTATAGGATATTTGTGAAAGATTATTTCTGGATTGCTAAACTACTTAGTGATCTATTTTGAGGTTATCTCGTTAAGACTGGGGTACTATTTAAGAGGAAGAGGAAGCTCTGGGAGTAATAACCCCAACATCTCCACCACCACTGCCTGTCGCCTTTGGAGAACTGGTAAAGGGAGGCCTGTGACCAAGTATTTAGAGTTCTGCCTTCACAAGATTCCATTAAGTCCTTATCTTATGCAAAAAGTCAGCTTTGAGGGCCTGGGATTAAATTACATTAGAGCAAAAATGAAGAGGAAAGGGACTCTACAGATCTCACTACCAAAGCCTTGTGTATACGACAGACCAGGCACCCAACTCACAAATCAGAACTGCTGGCCTTAAGCAATCATTTGCAAGGCTGGGGCATATGTGTAGGGGGTCACTGGGTGTGCCGGTTCAAAGGCGGACAACCACCTGCTTACACATCCATTGCCTGGAGGAGCAAGGAGCCCACACCCAGGAAATACACAGGCGGGAACTCATTGCTTCACCCACTATGCCAGGCTTATTCCACAACCCAAAGTCACCCAGATTATGGGAGAGAGGGTGTTTTTAGTATGTAGGTGTCCTATCAGAATTTACCCAGATGATGTAAAAATTCTGAAAATAGTGTTAAAAGAAAAACTTTAGAATAATCAAATGTAACAGAGTTTAATTGAATGAAGATCAACTTACCAATTGGGCAGTCTGAAGGACCAGAATAGGTTCAGAGCAACTCCAGGGCTGCTACTTG